CCTCAGGAACTCAGGAACGCGGGCTGGGAGCGGAAGGCTGGGGGGTGAGGAGGGGGAAGGATGCAGGCATGGGCAAAGAAGGGAAGTCCCATGGGTTTCGGGGCAGAGCAACTGTCACAGCAGGCCCGGCTGACGCTGCGGCTCCTGCTGCCTCCCTCCACCCCCCGGGCTGACAGGCGCTGGGCCTGGTTGCTCAGGAGGAAAGCCCAGAGTGGCCATGCCAACCCCCGCGCTGGCGCCTGCTGCCTTTCACTTGAGCTGGGAGGCTGGCAGCACGGTGGCCCCTCCCGAATTTGTGCCAGAGGATCGTGGGGCCAAGAGAAAGGAGGGGTGTGGTGGGAGCTCTAACACAGGCCCCAGGCTGGGGTCCCTCCCAGGCACCTGGTTCCACTCCGGCTCCCGGCCGTGGCCGTAGCCGTAGCCACTTCTGCGGGATCCTGGGCCAGTCACTCCTGTTTTGGCTCCTTGGAAGGTGAAGCTGGCTTGACAGGGCCTTGGGGGACCTCGGGGGACCAGTCTGTGGAGTTGGAACCTAAGGGGGCCTCAAGTTCTGCTGGTCCAAACCTGACCTTCTATAGCTAAGGCATGGAAGCCCAGACAGTGGAAGGGACTTACTCAAGGCCACACAGCCACAGGTGGAGAGCTGCAGGGGATCAGAGCCCACAGCCAGCTGGCCTGAAGTGCAGACTGGACCCTTAAGTTGCCCTCTGCTGGGACAGACAGGGCCCCATCCTCCCAGAGTGGAGCTCCTCTCCAGCTCCGGGCTCCAGGCTAAGCTGTTCATCCCAGAGCACTTGACTTTCTCAGATATATTCCCTGGGAATTATCCTCTGCTGAAAATCCCCAGGGCCCGAGCAGGGCCCCTGCTGGGGAGGGTGGAGACACCATGCGCAGCTCGCCACAGCAGGGGTGTGCCAGGGGTCCTGGGGAGGCGCTGCCTGGCTCAGCTGGGGATAAAGGGAGACTTCAGGGAGATCCAGGGAGGGCCAGCCTGAGGCTGGGCTGTCCCTGTCGGTCCACTCCACTCGTCCAAATTTAACTCCTCTCTCTCTCTCTCAGGGTGAACAGCACAGCAGGTGCCTACCTGGGGCACCTCAGCAGCCTTCTTCGCTTTGTTTACCGACTTAATTCCTTCAATCAAAGGCTGCCCCTTTCTCCCTGAGCAGGCAGACGGGGAATGGCATTATTTATATTAGAAATGGGCAAGGCTCCATGAGACTTCTTCCCTACGCCTGATAAAAGAAAATCAGGTCACTACCGTGCCTCCCTGGCATCTGCAGTCGGCTTTTCACAGCCCAGGTACTCACAGGCCCAGGGAAGAGCTCGTGTGCACACTGTGGCCCAACTGGTTCTCTCCCACCCTGAGAATCCAGTCAATTATTGACCTGAGCAGGAGTATTAATGGGACAAAATAAGAGCATCCCTCGCAGGCAGCTCCAGCCCGGAGTTATCTATCATTTCCCGGGCTTTGCAGCTGGCACTGGGCAAACATGGGCTCGGACAAACAGGGCAGCTGCAGGTTCATTAAGCTCGGGTGCAGGTGAGGGGATGGAGGCCACAGGGGAGCCGTGAGTGGGCCTGATCCCTCTGAGCTGTGACATCCCCTGAGGCACTATGGTTCTTTTCTCTGCTTCCTCCTGCCCTCTGCCCCCAAAAGAAGTATTCAGAAAAAAAACCACTGTGTACCGAGTATGGAGTGGTGATGCCCATCTAGGCAAGGTGCTTAGAGCTTTCTGGGCATTCATAATCTCCACAAAACTGTATAAAATTCCCATTTTACAGATGAAGAAACTGCAGTGCCCAATAGGCTGGGCAATTTACCTAGGCTCACATGGCTGGTCATTGGCGGAGCAGGAACCCAGGTTTGTCTGTTCGGAGGCAGGGAGGGGCTTTTAGCCTCTCAGCTGTGTCCAGCTCCCCCTGCCGCTAGTGGTAGATATTTCACCTTTCCTCAGGCCGGCTGTGTCTATTACTTGTAAGTAATGGTAACACTGCGACAGATCCACACCCCTTTTCTTAGAAACCTCAGCACATTTTGTTCCTGTTCTTCACCTTATCCTGACAACATTCCCCGGGTACCCAGAGGCCTGTCAGCTGTCTTCACAGGGGGTGGAAGGTCTGGCCCTTGTGGGGAAGGAAGAGCCAGGTGCTCTCCACCTCTGCCCTGGGCGAGTGTGGCTTATGGGAGATGCGAGGTGCCTCTGGCTGCTCTGACTGCGGAGCCCTTCAGGAGAAGTCTTGATTTCAGCTCAGAGGCAAAATGCCAGGTGCTATTCTGGGGCCACCACCTTGGTGAGAAATGACCATCAAGTGGAAACCAGGAGAGGACACGGCCCCAGCTCAAGTCCTTGCTGGGCAGATTAATGGCCCCTGTAATTTTCCCCAGGTGCTCCTGCCACGGCGCAGAGGTCCGGAGCCATCTCTCTGGAAGCGAGCTGTGGTCTCCCTACCGGAGCTGGGCTGCGGCTGCAGGATCCTGCCGTAATGCAGTAACGACAGGCTGCCAGGGAGCCCCGCACGGCCCGGCCGGGGAGGGGGAGAGGAGCCCTTGGCCTCTCTCTGCCGGAGATGAGGCTGCCTGGGCTGTCTGAAAGGGAGACGGAGAACATGCGGGTGCCCGACTTTCTCTTCCCCAGACGGCTAAGAAATTGGATTAGATACAGTCACAGCAGTCTTCTCGCCAATACCTTTCCCCCCAGAGTTTTGCTGCCAACTCTTCATTATATGTGGGTGGCTCCTTATCCTCTCTGCCACATGAAGGCTTCTGGGGTAGGCAGCCCTGGGGAACAGCTGCCAGGTACTCCCCACTCAAACGAAGACCAAAGGCAAAGAATGAAGTGCTAGCAGGGAGACCAGAATGAGCCACTTGGGGCTCCAATGGGACTGGCAGCAAGTGCCACAGTGAAGCACTGAGGTCTGGCCCCCCGCTTTGCATTTACAGCAGGGTCACCACAGACTAGAAAAAACAGCAAAGAATTCAACTGATCTCGATACCAAAATACCATTAGAATCAGTCATTGGAACTCTGGTGTTAGTAATTCTAACTACTTAATGGGGACCTCTGATCTCAGTGAGGTCACATTTACTATTTTGGTGGGGGGTGAGTCGGGTTGTCTTTAATGTAAAGGTTAGGTGAAAATATTGCCTGAACGGCTTTAAATGACCAATATTTTCAAAGTGCTTTCTTTGGCTTAGACTACATAGGAAATCAAACTGCTTCCAATTACTAAAAATAACAATCTACATTTGAGAAATGAATTTATATTATTCATCTAATAAAAAGTCTAGGCTGGGCGTGGTGTCTCATGCCTGTAATCCCAGCACTTTGGGAGGCTGAGGCGGGCGGATCATAAGGTCAGGAGATCGAGACCATCCTGGCTAATACAGTGAAACCTCGTTTCTACTAAAAATACAAAAAAATTAGCCGGGCATGGTGGTGGGTGCCTGTAGTCCCAGCTACGCGGGAGGCTGAAGCAGGAGAATGGCGTGAAGCCGGGAAGCGGAGCTTGCAGTGAGCAGAGATCGCACCACTGCACTCCAGCCTGGGCAACAGAGTGAGATGCCATCTCAAGAAAAAAAAAAAAAGCTTAATTAATGACCCTTTTTTTTTTTTTTTTTTTTGAGACAGTCTCGCTACGTTACCCAGGCTGGAGTGCAGTGGCATGATCTTGGCTCACTACAGCCTCATGCTCCCAGGTTCAAGTGATCCTCCTACCTCAGCCTCCCAAAAAGCTGGGCCTATAGGTGCAGCTACCACACCTGGCTAATTTTTAAATTTTTTGTAGACATGGGGTCTCTCTATGTGGCCCAGGTTGACCAATTCTATATATTCAAAGCTAACAACAAATTGTTAAAACTTTTCATATTCTTGCCGGGCATGGTGGCTCACGCCTGTAATCCCAGCACTTTGGGAGGCCGAGGCGGCCAGATTGCTTGAGGTCAGGAGTTTGAGACTAGCCTGGCCAACATGGTAAAACTCCGTCTCTACTAAAGATACAAAAAAATTAGCTGGGCGTGGTAGCAGGCGCCTGTAATCTCAGCTACTTGGGAGGCTGAGGCAGGAGAATCACTTGAACTGGGGAGGCAGAGGTTGTAGTGACCTGAGATCAGGCCACTACACTCCAGCCTGGGTGACGCAGTGAGACTCCGTCTCAAAAAAAAAACCAAAACAAACAAACAAACAGAAAACTTTTTCATATTCTTTAGTTTATCCACTTCAAACATCCTTCTAAAAAAAACACAGTTATGCATAACTGCAACATTTTGGGAAGATCTCGTGTATTCCGATAGGCTGTTTTCCTCACTGGCTTGTGCAATGAAAACCTGAAGTATGTCCTGACAAGTGTGTAGAGTGGGTCCCTTAGAAGTCCTGGCAGCCACACTGTGCTGTCTGAATCTCCGACTGGGGCTGCAGTGCTTTGGGACAGTTATCCTATAGAAGTTTTGGTCTTAATAAAGGACTTTTGTTGCTTAAGAAAACAGAAGCAAAACCAAAACCATAAGCTCTGCAGTGGTGCTTTCCAACTTCAAGTGCAAATGTCGCATAGCCCTGACAGTGGCTGTGCCTCATTTACTCTGCAGACAGCGCCTGGGCCCCAGGGGCTCTGCATGCACCCCCAGAGCCCGGAATGCCGAAAGCATAAATATCTGCAAGGATCACCCAGTCCAGCTCCCTAGTTTTCTGGTCTGAAATCACAGATGGGCAGGGACCACAGAGAGGAAATGGAGGTGCTGGGACGCCATGCAGGGCCCTTGCCGCCACCCCAAGTGCCCCCAGGAAGAGTGAGGGAGTTCTCCAGCAAAGGTGTCAATAGGGGTGTTGTGGAAGGAGGTGATTCTTTTGCCACCAAAGACAAGGGGTCAGAGGTGAAGGCCCGAGCAGTCAGGGACAGCAGCAGGCTCGTTTCTCCACAAAACCACAAGACGGCCCCACCACCCAGCCGCATTCTTGACGCCTCAATGGCCTGAGCAACAGGCAAACTGAGGAAGCCCAAGGCAAGTATTTTCCAGCTTAGAATTTTTATTAAAACAATCATTTAAATTACAATAGTTCCTCAGAATAGAAAATAGCCTTCCATGGTCTGGCCCTGACAGGAGGCAGGACTCGGGCCCTACAGGAAGAAGTGACGTCTGACATCTTTGAAAATGGATGGCGCTTCCCTGAAAGCCCTGGAGGGGCTGGCTTGGGCCCAGGGTCACTGGGCCAGCCTGTCTCCTTGCCAAGGCTGCTCCCTCCAGGGGCGGCGAGGCCCCACCCTGTCAGTGAGGAACACTTAGACACTGCAGCTGGTTGTCAGTCTCTGGGCTCTTGAAAAAAAAAAAAGAGGGAAAGAGAGAAACCTGTCCCTAAAATTACAAGACACAGCCACTCATGAAGTGTTATGTAATGCCACAGGGTGCTGTCTAGCAGGGCCTGGCAGGTACATGAATAACAGGGTGGACAACACAGGTCGGGGGGACTGCTGTGGCTGAGGTGGGGCCTCGATCAGGATGAACGAAGCCGTCTGTGCCGCACAGCTATACACGGCTACCAGCCAACAGGGCAGCTTCATGGACATCATGAGCTGGGCAGTGACCTCATGAATGATCCCGGTGCCGTGGGGCTTCTGCCTAGGCAGAGCGCTCATAATGAAATCACCGTGGCCAGGACGCTGCTCTGTGGGCTTGAGACTTCCTTACTTGACAAGCTCCCAGGCCCTAAAACGTTTGCTTAAAAAGGACGCAGTCTGGCTGAGTGCGGTGGCTCAGGCCTGTAATCCTAGCACTTTGGGAGGCCGAGGTGGGCGGATCACCTGAGGTTGGGAGTTTGAGACCAGCCTGACCAACATGGAGAAATCCCATCTCTACGAAAAATACAAAATTAGCCAGACGTGGAGGTGCGTATACCTGTAATCCCAGCTACTCGGGAGGCTGAGGCAGGAGAATCACTTGAATCTGGGAGGTGGAGGTTGTAGTGAGCTAAGATCGTGCCATTGCACTCCAGCCAGGGCAACAAGAGCAAAAACTCTGTCTCAAAAAAAAAAAAAAAGATGCAGTCATCCCAGCCACAGGAACCAGTCTCTGAAAACAAGGCATCTCTTTCATTCTTTCTCCTGCTGCTGGGGCTTGGGACGCTCCTGAGGCCCATCCTCCTCTCCACCTTCTCCATCTGTGGGGAGGCACCTCGGATTCCTGCCTCAAGGAGGGGGAAGTGCTCCTGGCTGAGCAAGGTCCTACAGTCTCCAGCCTGCTCCCTGGAGCCCCAGGTGCTTCTGCCACAGCTCAAACACCAGCCAGCTCCCTTGAGGCCGCATGGCTTGGCACTTCCCAGACTTCAGAAGTACACACGGCAGTTAAAGAAGGAAACAAAGCCCAACAGTGTTTTTATAAACCACCATATGCTCCCGCCTGTAGCCATTGTTAAAGAACAAATTTACAGGTCAGGAGGAAAGTAACTCCCGGTGGAAATCCAGGGATGGGCTTCAAGACTGAGAAGAGGCCAGGCATGGTGGCTCACGCCTATAATCTCAGAACTTTGGGAAGCCGGGGCGGGTGGATCACCTGAGGTCAGGAATTCCAGACCAGTCTGGCTAACATGGCGAAACCCCGTCTCTACTAAAAATACAAAAATTAGACAGGTGTGGTGGCACACGCCTGTAATGCCAGCTACTCGTGAGGCTGAGGCAGGAGAATCTCTTGTACCTGGGAGACGGAGGTTGCAGTGAGCTGAGACTGCGCCACTGCACTCCAGCCTGGGCGACAGAGAAAGACTCCATCTCAAAAAAAAAAACAGAAACGGAAAAAAAACCACAAAAAACTGAGGAGACAGAGCCAGACCTCACTTTATAAACGCCTGAAGCTTCTGCTCCTAGCTGGACCAGACTAGGAGAAGCCACAGGGCCACAGCATCCACACTTGCGCTCTAGGTCTGCAGTCCCACCCTGCAGACCCTAAGTGGCTGTGCGGCACCCAGGGCTGGTTTCCTTGGGGCAAGGTGGCCCAAGCAGGTGCTGAGCAGCCCGACCCCGTTAGGTCAGCCTGATAGTGGGAAGAAGACAGGATCTCTGTGAGCCGCTCAGTTTCTCAAAACCAGACGGAATTGCCAGAGACCACCTCTGCTCTCCAAAAATCTCAAGGCCCCCATAGCCTCCAGTTACTAAGCATCTTTTATCTGATTAAGACAAATCACCTGCTTGGCATAACAGCCAAACTGGAAGGATCTCAAGGGCCCTGGATGGCCACAGCAACATCAGTCATGGAGAAATGAAAGGGCAAGAAGGGGCAGGGTGTGGTGGCTCACGCCTGTAAGCCCAGGTTTGAGTTTTGAGACCAGCCTAGCTAACATGGCAAAACCCCGTCTCTACTAACAATACAAAACATTAGCCAAGTGTGGTGGTGCATGCCTGTAGTCCCAGCTACTTGGGAGGCTGAGGCAGGAGAATTGCTTGAACTCAGGAGGTGGAGGTTGCAGTGAGCCAAGATTACGCCACCACACTCCAACCTGGGTGATAGAGCCAGACTCCATCTCAGAAAAAAAGAAAGAAAGAAAGGGCAAGAAGGTGGCCCCAGCCCAGGGAGTGAGCCGTGGGGTGGTTCTGTGGCCCTCTGCTGCCTGGCATGGAGGTGGGTCCTGTGACAGCCTAGGTGAGTGCCACCTGTGGGTGGACACCTGCATCAGGCCTGTGCTGGGAGGGGCACAAATGGCCCTTGCTGGCCCCCAGGGAATAGAAAATTCAGGGTCCGAAGAGGGACAAGGGCAACAACAAAGTGAGGCCTGGGTACAACAGTGGGTTGGGAAGTGGCCTGTGGCCACTGGCACGTGGCCAGGAGGGAAGGTGAAGCAGAGGGGCCGTGCAGACTGGGCCGGTGGAGCTCGGAGTCTGGGTCATCGAGAAGCAGCACCTGCAGAGCCACAGGGCTTATGGATCCCTGGTCATAGCCGGGTTACGGGTGCTGACTACAGTATGACCAGGGAGTGCCCCAGCCCCATACAGGCAGGGGTGTCTATGGGCTTTGGGCAATGGGGAAGACATGAGTGGCTCCTGCCTGCCTCTCGGACCCTGGTCTAGTGTGGCCGGAGGGGGACAGAGAGTGCCCTGTACCATCAGCTCCCGCACGGCACTACCCAGCCCCTCGGCTGGCAGTCAGCCTGCATCACAGCTTCTGCCTAAAGTCTCTCCCTAGCCACAGCTGCCTGCCTATTCCCCACCAGCTGCCAGCCAGAGCGCCGCCTCGGGGTGCCTGGCGGGGACCCAGCCCTTGCTCATCACGAGCTCTGGGCGGGCTCCCTAAAGATGAGAAGCCGGCAGGCGTGCTGGGCCTGGGATCCGCTGGGCTGGGCTGCTTCGCTGCCCGTGGGGGAATGAATGTTCCGGAACCCTGGGCAGGGTGGGGATGCTGGCACTGGCCTCTCAGGGCTTCAGTATCTCACTCCCCACAATGACTTCCCAGGCTGAGCAGTGGAGGTCAGCTCTGGAGTGCAAGACACACACACACCAGGGTGCCTTGGACGAAGGGAGTCAGGAATCCCACATTAGACAAAGGAAGACAAATACTTCTTAAAACAAAGACTCAGGTCAGAGAACTAGAATCCCATGAGAGAAATCTCTACAGGGTCGTAGTTCAAGGCAATTGCACATAAGAGGGGCTGGGCTCTTCACTCAGCTGGGGAAAGTTCTGGAGCTCCCATGGAAACCCCCAGCCAGCTCCCTATGGATGGCTCTCTTGGTATCTGGTCCATCCCGCGGTCCCAGGAGCAGGAGAAGTGGCAGGTCCTGGGGTGGCTGGGTCACCTGCTAGAGCTCTTCAAAGAAGGCCACTCGAGACTTGGCGCTCTGCAAGGTGAGCTGTAAGAAAGCAGAGAAGAATTTGAGAGGGCACGAGGCCTCTGCTCTGTCACACAGGGTCCTGTCCTGCCACTTGGACTCACCTCAGAGGTGGTTGGGAGCGACAGGGAAGCCTGTTCAAATAGATGCTCAAGAAGTTGGTGGTCAGTCCCAAATAAGCGGCCAGATTTGCCCAATAATTCAAATTAGGAGGTGACAAATAAGGACGTGCAAAGGGAAGGCTGGTGGGCAGAGGCACACCATCAGGAAAAAGCCGTCAGCATTGCCTCTTGACAGAGGACTGGAGATCCCTGGCTATTTTAATAGATTCTCACATTCCCATCTACCAAGGTCCCTGAGCCACCTCTGTGGTGTGCTGTCTGCGGGGCTTGGCAGGGTGAGCATCTTAGTCCTCGTGCCCTGGCAACATGGTTGCGGTAAGGTGACGTGGCCTCGGGCAAGGCAGGCCTGTGGCAGATGAGGAAGAGTTTACCCATTCTACTCCTGGTTTCCCAGGTGGTCCCGAAGCAAACTTACGCATGACCTGGCAGCTGAGAAGGGGTTTCTCTCCACAAGCTGGAGGCAACGCCTTTCTCAGTGTGGCTGGTGTAGGCAGGGAGGGATGGTGCACATGGGTGGCATTCTGCCCAGCAAATGTAAAGGACAGTCAGGGAGATGTGGAAGGGGATGGGGTGGATCAGGGACTGAGCTCTTGGCATGGTGAAGTTTGCAACCTCCTAAGCCCCTGACTCTGGGCCACTTCCCAGCATCTCCCTGGACAGAAGCATCTGGAGCCAGCACTCTCCCTATTCCCTGCTCTCTGCTGACTCCTGAAATCAATGCCTTGGATGTGACTGTGTTCCATTTCCAGCTCCGGGACTTCCCACAGGAGTGCAGGGGTGGAGGGCAGGGAGTCCGTACCATTCATCTTCATATCCCCCAAATATCTGGCTTAGTGCTGTGTGCCGATCAGGAGTTCAAACAATGTTTGTTAAGAGACCAGGACATGGGCTATGACGAAAACTAAACTGAGGTGCGTAGGAGAGGCAAGAGCTCCACACGGGGCTGAGAAGGTCTGAGAGCTCACTCTCTGCCATCACCAGCTCACTGTGGACACCCTTGACCTCTCTGAGCCTCCTTTCTCTGGAGGTTGCCATGGGGCAGGCAAGATGGTCTGGCCCATTCTCTCGATCCCTCGAGTCTGCATGTGAAGAGTCCTCAGTACTATCGGCGGCTCCATAAAGGGCAAGGGAGGGAAATTCCAAACCGACTACTTCACCATCAGAAGACAGCACTAGTGTGCTCAGAATGAGACAGCTTGAGAGCAACTCTTTAAATCCTGCCAAATCTTTTGGCCTTGAAGTTCCCGACTAACAAGCGGAATGTGGGGAGGCAGCTCAGCTGCTTTCTTCAGCGGAACCAATTTCAGAGTCCTTTGGAAAGCCTGGTTCTGATGGGAATGGAGAGCCCTTTTTTGCCTAAATGGAACTCCCTCTAGAAGGGAGCTGCGTCAGGATGGGCTTCTCCCTAAATGTAATCGGGAGGAGAAGGGCCAGGAGTTATGTGCCCTGTGATAATGGGAATCAGAATGGTCACTGGGGAAAAAAGGAGGAAGAGCTTTAGCTGCCAGATAACTACTGGGGCAAAAATGGGAGAGGGTTTAAATGAAAGCATGTGAGCCCAGTGTCTCCGCTCAGGTTTCTGAAAAGAACAGCCACTTTGAGTCAGACACAGGCACAGTCAGCTGCCTGGGCCACTGACCAGCTGTGTGGCCCTGGGCAGGTCATTTGCTCCCCTCTGGCCTCAGTTCCTCACTGTGAATCGGGCGTGATGGCAGCCCCTTCCTCATGGGGTGACAGGCAGAGGAATTGGGAACCGTGTGTGATGCGCTCAGCACTGCGCCTGGCGCATGGTGGGAATTTGACAGCTGTTATTGCTAATAGCAGCATCACGCTTCTCCCCTCCCCAGCCCTGGCTCCTCTCCTTCCAGCGGGGAGCAGGATGCTCGTTAAGAAGGGGTGCAGGCAACAGCAAGGTCATGTATGGCACTGGCCTCCACGCCTACCAGGCGGGCCAAGTGATGCCCCATGAAGCCTGGCCACTTCCCCAGGCAGGGAGCCCAGGTTGTGGGGGACTTGAGAGGCTCCTGCCCATTTGTGCAATGTTGGCTCCAAGAATTCCTGGATCCTCCACCAGAGGAGCATGCTGGCTGTCCCCTCGAGGTGCCAGGGGAGGGTTCTGGCAGTGCCAGCAGCACCAGATTCCAGTGACTCAAGCATGTGCTTATTAGGATGCAGCGTGCTCTCGGGTGGGCAGGCTGCTTCCTGAGCCCCACCCCAGCTGCACTGCAGCACCTCAGCCCCACCTCTTATTTTGCAAGAGAAGGAGCCTCGCCTCAGCCACAAGTAAAGGTAGAGAGGGACATCAGTCTGCGCACACAGAAGTAGGAAGGCACCACAGCCACTGGGCAGGACAGAGAGCCGCAGTCTTCCAGAAGGCACTGAGGTGGTCAGAGGGAAAGGCAGACCCACCAGCTGGAGGCAGCCATGACCTGGCTGCACTGGTCAGCAAGGGCTGCTGCCCGAGGGCCCTGGGAGCCTTTGGCCACTGCTGCTTGCTCCTCAGACAGACCTGGCTGCTGCCACCCCACCCTTTACCCTCACTGTGCGGTTACTATGGGTTTCAGTCCCCACAGGAACCCCGGAGTCAGAATTTACTGCACAGTGCTCCTCCCTCCTGCTGGAGTGGCCCTCCCAGCCACCCCCATGGCTCTGCTTCCGCCTCGGCAGTATCCTTTATCTCAGACACCAGGATGCCCTCCTCCAAGCAGGTAAGGAAGGCAGGCAGTGAGACGAGGAGAGCCCTTGGCTTTCTTTCCTGCAGGTAGAGGCTCAGGGGAGCCATTTGCCCTCAGGCAGGAGTTTTTCTACAGAGAGCTTGGGAAGCCTCCCTGCCGGGCACACAAACAGCTCTGCCACCTGCACGCCCTGCCTGGGCACTGTCTCGCCCCTCCAGTGGGCAGGCTCCTCACCTGTGGATCTTTCACCATCTGCTGCTTCTAGAAAGCTCACTGGTTGTCACATTTACAGTACACCCACAGGCAGGAAGTATTCATCAAGGAAAAGGCAAAAGCTCAGAAGAAATGGCAAAAAGCTAGCCCTTCGTAAAATAAACTCTGCCTCCGAGTCTTCTTTTTAAACACATGAAAACCAGCTAACAAGTTTCCTGGTTCCCCTGCGATGCTCTCATACCCTAAGGTGTGCGGGCCCACCAGTGTTAGGTACATCTTCCTGCTCAGCAACCGGCCTGGGTCCCTCTACACTGCCCAGCAACACCTGCTTGCTAGAGCCAGAAGAGGCCTCCCACGAAGGCCTTCACCTTGCCCTATGTTGCACTGTGAGTTGAGCACTGAAGCCACTCTGATGAGTCCCATCCCCACCCTGAATTCCAAACAAAAATGCCCATGCTCCCTTTGGCAGTCCAGCAACAGCCCACCCCTTGCCCATCCTTGCCTGCCTGGAGAGTGGAGTCCCCCACGAGGGCAGGGAATTCCTCGCATGCACAATGAGTATCTTGAAGGTTATCCAGAGAGAAGAGGTCTCCAAATTTCAGCAAGTAACAAAGCAGAAGCACCTCAGGGTGTACAACCAGGGTCTCCAAGACAGTGGCTGCACCAGTCTGGGACCTGCCAAGTCTGGTCAACTGCCTTTGAATCCTTCTGAAGACAAGTGGGCCAAGCTCTGGTGAATGTGACCAGTGACATCTGCCATGCACTGTCCTTCAGAACTCTCACTGAATCTAGACGAGGTCCAACCATGGGAGTCCCGCAGCAGGGCTCTGCTCCCTGGGCAGGCTATAAACCCAAGGGCCCTGCTCAGAATCTCCAACCCAAAGCACTCCTGCCAGTTCCCTGAAGATGCCTACAAGAACATGAAGCCTCCGCACCAGGCATGGGCTGACCCGCTGCTCTCCTCCAGCTGTCTCTTCACATCTGATTAGAATTAGCCGTGTGAATAACACAGGAGGAATTAAGTTCTCTCTAGACTGAACCGGCTGCTCAAGTCTGTCACTAATCCAATTCCATTCTGAGGAGACGAACTTCCTTTTCTTTCTCTGGGGCGGATCTCTGAGGCTTTATTGCTATCTGACTGTTCATCTTCACATCCCCACTCTGATCCACTTGTTGGCGCCTGGCTTTTCCTTCCTGCCCAACATCGAGACTCAGCCCCTCAGCCCCGGCAGAGTCCCTTTCCCCCTGCCCACTTGTCCATAAAACTGCCAGCTGTTTGTGACAGCCAGCAGGCTGTGAGAGGGCAGGGGAGAACTTAGGAGAGTTCCACTCTGGCAGAGCTGGGCCTCCTTACACTCCCCAAATTGTGTGTGGTGTGACAAAAACAGGCACATTCACCCGCTCTAAACAAGTTCAGATTCAGGAGACACATCTGTCTACTTAAAAAGACAGAGGAGGCTGGCTAAAAGAACCTGGCCGGCACTCTCTAACCCAGGCATGCAATCTGCATCTTCAACTGTTCCTCCTCACTGCTACCTGAGGATTTTGGGTGGCCCATTAAGGTACTCCTGAGAAATGGCCCCAGGGTCTGGAGAAAGCAAGCCTGGAAGGCACCTGGGACAAACATTCCCCTGCTGCCCTGCCAGCAGCGGAAGGCTTCCAGCTACAAAGCCTCCGCCAGCATCGTTCCTGAGAGTGCCCCCTGCTGGAAAACCACAGTACAAGGCGCACAGCCAACTCTCCTTCCAGCTCTCCTCTAAAAGTCCTTTTGGGGGATCGTTTCCCAAAGTGATGGGAGGGTAACTAAATGTATTCCGGCACGGAGCCTGCAGCAGCAAGCCTGCTTGATTAAGAATGAATTACACTTTCATCAGCACAGAGAGAAAATTGATTCACAAGGCTGCATTGTGATCATCTTGTTCCTAAAGCAAGGGAAGGTGGGGGGAGACACAGAGCCACTTCGGCTATCAGTGGTGAGAGAAAGGAAGCTGTACAATTAAGCTGGGGAACA